CCACAGACAAGAATGGGGTCCTAGGGATTTTTTTCACCTTTCATCAGTAACCCTGTCCATCCGGGGACCCTTGTGGATATTGAAGGACTGAACTGATGCCTGCGCTGTGGCCTCCCTCAGAGGCATGATAAAGTCCTAACAGTTTTCTGTTCTCCAAGCACTTGTTATGAAGGCAGGAGGACAGGCAATGACAGCCACAAGAGTGGGGTCACAGGGAGGAAACTCAGGAAGCCCAACTGCCCTGTCTGCACCCTCACGGGCTCTCCACATTTTCTGGCAGTAAAAGCCACCCTCACTGTCTCCACGTCCCTGGTGTGCTCTGCCCTGGAAATGTAACCTGTGCTTTCCTGGAGCCACCCTTAAACAGAGCATGGCATGACAGCACAGAAGCTGATAGCATGGGCTTTGCTCATGGCCTGACCTGACTCCAATTCCAACTCAGTCACTAATCCGTGACCATGAGCAAGATGTGTAGCCCTCTCTGCAGTTTTATTTTCAACTTATTGTTTTGTATTTTTGAGATAATATATTTTCAATTTACATTATAATCAAAGACTTAGTGCTCCACTAAAGAAAGAGTCAACTAATAAAAAGTACAGGCTGGACAATAGGCTAGCCCCATAAAGAATAATCAAATGGAAATATTTTCAACTTCTTTCATTTACAGTAAATTTTAAAACAGTCCTTTGGCAGTTTTGTTGCCTATGATTTATGTCTCTTTTGCTAAGTGATTGGTTTTCACTTCTGCCTTTTATTAAACAAACACTTAATGAATTTAACCTTGCTTCACCCACATTCATGTCCTGCAGAGGTGGAGAGAGAGAGAGGTCTTCCATCCACTGGTTCACTACCCAGATGACTGCAACAGCTGGAGCTGGGCCCATCTAAAGCCAGGAGCCAGGAGCTTCTTCCAGGTCTCCCATGTGGGTGCAGGGGTCCAAGGGCTTGGGCCATCTTCTACTGCTTTCCCAGGCCATAGCAGAGAGCTAGATTGGAACTGGAGCAGTCAGGACTCAAACTGATGGCCATAATGGATGCTGGCACTGCACGCAGCAGCTTTACCTGTGGTAAAGACAATGTAAAATTTCACATTTTAATACTAATGTTGTACACTGTTTTACTTAACATTTTGGGGAGTAACTGCCTCTGACTTCAATTCAAGAGGATACTTTTTTGTTGCTAGTATAACCTGTTTTTGTAATGGCATTAGCAAATAAAGGGATGCTTATTATTGAAACAAAAAAGTGTGTTATCCTTGCTGATTGTTAGCTATGAATATGACAATTATTATTTGATTTACCCACAGTCTCCTGTGGAGGCTCTGGGATATGGGGTAACTAAAGCAGATAAGAATCCCTACTTTTTGTGGTAGGGGCTTGGGAAAATCTTTTTTTCTTTCTGGGAGTCATATTCCTCATCAGTATGATAAGGCAATGGGCCTGTCTGGGGGCCTTTCCTGCTCAGTTTTCTCTGAGTCCCTGGGTGACAGAGATGTGTGTTCAGTGTGCACTGGGGACTGCAGCTAAGACTTGTACAGGTGGAGAAATAAAGGGAAAACTTAGTATGGCTTGTAAGTTCATCTTTTCCAGAATTATCATGATGATATCCAGTCTTGATGATAAGTTAAATTGCACTGTACACATCACTACTCTTTTATTGTTTTTAAAAAATTATTTATTTGAACGTCAGCGTGAGAGAGAGAGAAAGAGAATTTTCCACCCACTGGTTCACTCCCCAGATGGCCCCAGTGGCCAGCACTGGGCCAGGTCAAGGCCAGGAGCTACATCTAGGTCTCCCATGTGGGTGGCAGGGGTCCAAGTATTTGGGCACAGGCAGAATTGAGCTTTCTACTCTAACTTCACTCTGCAAACACTCATCCTCTATCCCTTTCTTCAGCCAGCAGCTCCTTTCTCTGAATCTTCATGTTTTGTGTTCTGTACAGTGAGAAATGCTTCCTTGGGTACTGAGAGAAGGAAGAAGGACACACACAGAAAATGCACCCATAGGTACTCTGAGCAATAACCCTGGACCCATACAGGGTCCTTTCATGCATCAAAGAGAGGGAGGGAGGGAGGGAGAGGGACAGAGAGAGAGGAGAGAGACGCAACAGTCTTCCACTTGCTGATTCACTTCCTAAATGGTCCCAACAGCTAGGGCTAAGCGGATCCAAAGCTAGGAGCCAGGAGGTTCCTTCAAGTCTCCCACATGGGTGCAGGTGCCCAAGGACTTGGGCCATCTTCCACTGCTTTTCCAGGCCAAAACAGAGAGCTGGATTGGAAGTGGAGCAGCCAGGACTTGAATTCTTGCCCACACTGGGATGCCGGCACTGCAGGAAGTGGCTTTACATGCTATGCTACAGCGTCAGCCCCCACATAAACTTTTATTCTGTTCATAGAAATGTTATAATTTTTATACATTTTTTCACATCCTGTTTTCCTATACTTAAAAGGTTTGTATGGACACAATAGATGATCTTAGAATGCCTCTCCTTGGTGTGTAACTTGGGAGAAAGATCAAGCACCCAAAGAAGAGAGAAAGAAACCTCTTTAACTTGCCATGGATGCCTGGGCACCTGAAGTGGGTGGAGATGTTGATGTCACTGCACCCTTGGGTGTGTGCTTCCCAGGGGCAGCTGTGCAGAGTGGAGGGGAGAGGTGGGTAGAGGGTGGGGTGTATCTTGGGGAAAATGAGAGGTCTTGATGTCATCAGTGGGGAGTGTCTGATGTTGATCAGGCAGCACAGGGCTACTGGTTAGGCAGCCACTTAATGACCAATGATCCCAGAGCTGTAGAAGTAGGCCAGAGATGCTGTTAGAACTTGACTTGGCAGAGCTGTGTGGAGTGAGCTCAGGGCTATGAACAAGACAGTTGATAAGGGGGAAGGGGAGTGTGTGTGTCCTCTGGGAGAGTCAGAATCCTCCAATTTCCTGCCTGTGGAGGAGAGACCTTACCTGTGAGGGGACATAGTGTGCAGTCTGAGCCAGCAAAATTTGTAGTAGTAGAGGAGCTGAGTTTCCCCTTGTCTGGCATTTCTTATTTAATTGATAGCCCCCCTGAACCTTTTATTTAAGGTATACAAACTTAATGAATTTCATATATACAAATTTAGGAACATAGTGATTCTTCCCATCCTACCCTCCCTCCCACCCGCACTCCTACCCTTCTTCCTCCTCTAATTGTGATTTCAATTGTCAGGGCCTGCAGTTCCTTGAGAGTTCTGTAACCACACCCATCACTGGTCACCTCTCCTCACACTCACCCAGCCTTCCCCACTATGCAGAAGGGGGCAAAACACCTCCAAGTCTTCACCCACCTGGGCCAGATGTTTCAGATATCTCACCTGGCCACGTCTCCCTCCTGCTTCCATTCTGACCCTCTGTCATGGGCACAGAATCTCACCAACTTGCAGACAATACCCAGTGCTGGGCCTGCAGCTTAGCCAATAACACACTTGATTGTTCCTGCAATATGGAGAGAAAGACCTTCAGAGAGGAACCTTCTCTTCCAGGGGACTCTGAGTACCCAGTGAGGGTCCTGGATGAAGCCTAAGGCCAAGGGCATGGCTTCTCTGGCTCTCCAGGGAACACAGGTCAGCTTAGCATGGGTTGTTATGCATGAAAATCTCCCAAAAAGTTCAGAGAAGGTTGAGATGTCCATGTGGCCTGCTGTAGTCATTGTTCCTCCTTCCCTTAGGACAGCAGCAGTGAACAAGGCTGAAGGTTCATAGGGGGTGGCTCCCAAAGGACAGGCTCTCACCATGGATCTCATAGGGATGTCTACTCAGCTCCTGGGGCAGGGCTGATGGGGCTTCTGCACCTCCCCCCCCCCATATAGGGTCAAGCAGAAAATGTCCTTAGAACAAGCAAGGTGCTTTTTAAAGTCTTCCTAGTTACAGCTTTCGCACAGGCTGTGGTTGTTTTCTGCATTCCGTGAAAGCCCCTTTCAGAATCCAGATAGGCATTCTCCAACTTTGAATTTTTTTTAAGATTTACTTATTTATTTGAACATCTGAGTTTCAGAAAGAGAGAGAGAAAAAAAAATCTTGAACTCACTGGTTCATTCCCCAATTGGCTGCAACAGCCAAGGCTGGGCCAGGCCAAAACCAGGAGCCAGGAGCTTTGTCCAGGTCTCCCACATGGGTGGCAGGACCAAGCACTTAAGCCATCATCTGCTGCTCTTCCCAGGCCATTACCAGGGCTATATCAGAAGTGGAGCAGCTGGGACAGGAACCAGTGCCCGAACAGAATGCTGGTGTCACAGGCAGCAGCTTTATCCCCTATACCATGATGGCCCCAACTTTGAATTCTTGAAGTAGGGGTGCTGCAGCAACAAGAATTAGCTCTCCTGCCCGAAAGAACTAAAAATAACAGCAACCACAGCGACAGACAAAATAGAGTATTTTCAAGATCCTTGACAGCTAGCAAAAAAGAAGTGACAGGAACGCAGCGGGGGAGCCCTGTCATTGCTCCAACTCACTGTCCTCAGAGAGTTTCCAAGATAAACAGAGGGAGAGGAAGGTGAAGATGGGCCCAGTGGGCCCTTTGGAAGGAGGACACCGAGCTGAGAGGCCAAGAAAGACAAAGTATCATTGAGTCTGTAGGGGGCGCCCGGGGGGGGGGGTGTCACAGAAGGCGCCTTCTGAGCACACAGCACAGTGTGACCAGGCGTGCACACAGGAAACCACCTAGTGTAGGGAAGTTGTTTCAAAAGCAGAAACCAGTGCCTGTCCCTCACACAGGGCCAGAATAGTGACTGTTTGCAAAAGACAGACTTTTTCAAAAAACAAGAAAGCACGCAAACACACAAAACCCCTCCGGGCTCCATTCAGCCGGCACCACGCGCTCCTCCGCAGGGCCCCAGAGCGCCCAGAGCCCCACCCCAGGGCCTCACCGCGGCCCTCAGCCTCCGGAGCCGCCGCGCTCCCAAGCCACGCCCACCGCCGCGCGGCCCGGCGCTTTCCCGCCCTCCGCAAGCCCCGCCCACCCGCCCGTTGCCCTCAGCCCCTCACACAGCCCAGGCCCCTCGCCCCGAGGGCGCCATCGATGACCCCCAGCCCGGCCTGCAGGCCGCCGAGGTCCCTGGGGGCTGCCGCCCCCCTGGGGAACCCGGATGCGGACCCGCTTCAGAAAACAGAGCTGTGGACAATGGAGGACCCCGCGCCAGGGCTCCGGAGCGGGGACAGCGGTGCGGGGTCACTTGAGGGCCGCCTTCCGGAACCGGAGTCAGAGGAGAAGAGAGGGAACCGCGGACGCGGGGCGGACCCCGCGCCGAGGGACAGGGTTCCAGGAGGACGGGCGCCAGCCCCAGGCTCAGGATGCCGCTCCTCGGGAGGAGGATGCGGGAGCCGCGCCCACAGCTCCCGGGAGGGCGGGAAGGGCCGGCCCCCCTGGAGGAGGCCGCGGGGCTGCGGAGCCCGGGCGGCAGGGGGCGCTCTCCGGGACCACAGCCTCCTGCTGTTTGTAACTCCAGGCCTTTCATTCTTACTGTTGTGTTTATTCACTGGAGAGAGAGAATTACAGAGAGGGGAGAGGCAGAGAGAAAGGTCTTCCATGCTCTGGTTCGCTCTCCAGATGGCCACTACAAGGGGTCTCCCAGGCAGGAGCAGGCCCCAAGCCCTCGGGCCATCTTGCATGGCTTCCCCAGCCCATTAGGAGAGAGCCAGAAGGGAAGAGGAGCAGCTGGGACAGGAACCAGCGCCCATGGGGGAAGCCGGCCCTGCAGGTGGAGGCTTAGCCCACCAGGACACAGCACAGGCCGGGCCCACGGCGTTTCCGGTGCTGTGCAGAGAAACTGACTTGAAACTTAGCAGACTCCAGGAGCTAGAATCCTGCTGTCTTTTCTCTTAGAGAGAGGAGGCCTTGCCTCCTGCATGGGGGCTTGTAGTGTATAACTTTGTTGCAGGCAGAAGTCTCTGAGGGTTAAAGTGCAGTTAAGGAAGTGAGGTTAAGGTGGCTGCAGGTCATCCCGCTCTGTCTTGGGCTCAGAGGCTCTGGAGCTGGCGCAGTCACACTAAGGAGAGGAGCCCAGGAGCTGCAGCGTGGGGGGGACAGGGCGTGCACAGAAGGGCAGGGTCCAGCAGCCAGGTGGCACAGCAGGTTAGAGCCCCAGCCTGTAGCCCCGACCTCCATGGGGGCTGCTCCACTGGCTCTGCAGCTCTCTGCTGTGTCCCTGGGAAGCAGCCAAAGACGGCCCTAGTCCTTGGGCCTCTGCCCTGGTGTGGGAGACTTGGCAGAAGCTCCTGGCTCCTGACTTTGGATCAGCTCAGCTCTGGCCATTGTTGTCATTTGGGGAGTGAACCAAAGACCTCTCTCTCTCTCTCTCAGGCTCGACCTCTCTCTGTAACTCTGTATTTCAAATAAAATATAATAATTATTAAAAGAAGAAGAACCAGGGCAGTGTCTTTTCCCGTGGGCCATACTAGTTCACTCATCTCTTCCCTGAAAGGTTGCTGGGCCCAAGCCAGCTCCTCCCCAGGGTTTGAGTCATTCAGTTTGTTCTGCACCTGTTCTCTCCATCCTTATCCTCTCTACTTGTTTTGTGTGTGTGTGTGTGATTTATTTATTTATTTGAGGGTTAGCACTACAGAGAGAGGGAGAGACAGAAAAAAGGGCTTCCATCTGCTGGTTCACCACCGAAATGGCCTCAATGCCTTCCTCTGGGCTGATCTGAAGCCAGGATTTATCCGGGCCTCCCACATGGGTGCAGGGGCCCAAGCCCTTGGGCCATCTTCCACTGCTCTCCTAAGCGATAAGCAGAGAGCTGAATTGCAAGAGCAGCAGCTGGGACATGAACCGGCTCCCACACGGGATCCTGGCCTGACTGACAGAGGCTTCCCCTACAAAGCCACAGCCGGGCCCCATCTCCTTCTACTTTAAATCAGATGTGGAAAAATCCTGCCTGAACCCCATGCTCACATTAATGAGATTGCAGGGATGTGTGGGAAGGATCCCTCCTCCAATAGGGTGAAAACAACACCTGTGTCTTTTGTGCTTTTTCCACATAAATTCTTAGGTGCTTCTTCTGGTCATATGAATAATGTGCTTCATATTTTGGTGTGGGTTGCCTTGAATTTGTAAATTGCATTGGATAGAGTAGACATTTTCATCATGTTAATTCTTGTAATCCGTGGACATGGATGTCTTTCTAGTGTTTGTGTCTGCTTCAGGTTCTTTCACTGGTGTTTCATAATAGTCATGGTAGAGAAGACACTAAGAAATGGACAAGTAGGAGTACTTTCTACATGGCTTGGCAAACATTTTAATGAGATGTGGGGGCAAAGCATTGAGGCCTGTCTGTGTCTAGCACACAGTAACTGCTCAGTCACATTAGTTCTTACGAGTTCATCACCCTCTGCTCTTTCAGAATCTTCCTCCTTGTCTTAGACACAGGGATAACTGTTCATGGTGTGATGGACCATTCTACTCACATAAGTTAATGTTCCTCAAATGATTTAAATGTTTAGTATTATTAATAATGTCTCAAGGAGCATCATCTACATATATTTGGTATGTCCCTTATTAATTGTGAAGATGCTTCTCCAGGTTGTATCCTGTAAAGGGAATTGTAAGATCAAAGTTCTGGTACATTCCTGATGGTGCTGTTCTGGCCCCATTGCCTGGCAAGAAGATTTTCCCATTCACATTCACAGCCACTGATGAGAATGTTCTTTTCTATACCCCCTTGCAGAAACTAGACAGCCCCTGTTACCTTCTGTTAACTTTTACCAGCACTTAACTCTTTATTGTGAGATTTTATCAACTCAGATTACACTCAATAGGCCTGGAAAGGCTGCGATCAATGGGATGGTCTGTGTTCTCTTGTATTGGATGACTGCTCTGTTCTGAGATAATCAGACAACAGCAGTGTGAGCACACGAGTCTTGCACGGTGGACGACACTGCGTGTTGGGTTCCTGCAGTGTTCTGGATTTTGTGTGTGAGGCCCTCATTTCTTTGTCGCTCTTTCCTTTCTTTCTGCCTGCTTCCTTATTCTTTCTTTCCACTGACTTGGGATTGGTCTGCTCCTGTTTTACTAGGATTTTTGAGATACTTTGTTAGGTTATTGGAAGTCTTTCTAATTATTTGATGTAGGAACTTAATCCCATAACCTTTCCTCTGCATACTACTTTTAGAATTTCCTGTAGATTCAGTGTGTTGTGCTTCCATTTTAATTAGTTTCATGGAATTTTAAAATTTCCCTCTTGGTTTCTTATCCAGCCTTTATGTATTTGCATACCTTTGGGGGTTCTTGTGTTGTTGATTTCTAGTATTATAGCATCCATGTTCCATGTGCAGATGAAAAGAATGTGTATTCTGCAGCTGTGGAGTGAAATATCTGTAGTCATCTGTTATGGCCATTTGGTCTGTAGTAGTTTCTCTCTGATGCTTGTTAATTTTTTTCCAGGTGATCTCTTCCTGTCGAAGAAAGGTGAGTGTTGAAGTCCCCCACTATTACTACATTAGAATTCATGTGTCCTTTAGATGTAATAATTTTGTTTTATAAATTAGTGTGCTGCAGCAATGGATTCGTATGCACTTACCATTGTCACATCTTCTTGTTGGATCAAACCCTTGATAATCATATAGCAACCGTCATCTCTGTTTCAGTTTTTATCATCAAACCTATTTTATCTGATCCAACCATAGGTACTCTTGTTCACATCTGATATCCATTAGCATGAAGCATCTTTTCCCATCCTTTCCCTTTCAGTCTCTGTCTTTACTAGTGTGTTTCTTGTAGGCAACTTGTGGTTGGGTCTTGGTTTTCATCCAGTCATCCTGTCTGTATCTCGTAACTGGGTAATGTTGTCTGTGGACATTCACAGTTATTATGGATAAGGGATGGGTAAGAACTTGATTTTTAGAAATTTCATCATTTTGTTGTGAGTACCCTATGTTCTTTTTCCAGTGGGTTTTCTGTCATGTGTCTTGATAGTGGCAGTGACTCCTTATTCCAAGTCACTTGCAGAGGCTCTGGGGATAGGAACTGCACAAGGCAGACAGTGCTCCTGTCTCAGGAAGACCCTTTTCTGGCATAGGTGCCTGATGGTCTAGAGGTGGTCACAGAAACTCATTCTGTGTCTGACTGCAATCACTACTTGATCCTTTCAGTGTTCTTTGGTCCTGCTGTGTCACCCAGGAATCAAACTGAATATCAATGACAGATCTTAGCACCAGAGTGACTCACAGGGGAAGCACATTCTCCAAATGGCCAAATGATGTCCCTGTATAACAAAGGAGGAAAATTCCTCAGTTCTTTGGATGTCACAACATCAGGTGCACTTACCCAACTGGTAAAATATTTCTACCTGTGCAGAAATTTGTTGGATTGATAACATCAGATTTTTCCAATTGGTTTTTATTGTCCATGTTCTTGTGGTCTTAGCCCAAAAACTGTGTTGACTCTGCCCATTTCTTAGAGCATTTGCTCCTTGTTTTCTTCTGTTAGTTTCATAGTTTCAGATCTTACATTTAGATCATGATCCATTTTGAGTTGATTTTTGTAAATTAAAATCTATTTTCCCAGTCCCATTAAAATAGATGTGCATATCTCCAGGGAGTGTTTTCCACACCTTTGTCAAAAGTAAGTGGGATGTAGGTGTGTGAATTTCTAGGGGTTCTCTTTTTTTCCATTGTCCTATGTGTCTATTGCTATGTTGCTACCATACTGTTTTGGTCTCAATAGCCTTGTGGCATATCTTTAATTTTGAACTGTGGTGCCTCCATCTTTGGCTTCATTGTGTTAAGAATATTTTGAGTATTCAGAGCCTTTTGTGTTTTCATAAGAATTTTAAGATTTTTTTCTTATTCTGTGAGGATGTCATCAGTATTTTGATGGAGACTACATTGAATCTCTAAATTGTTTTGGGTAGTTTTGATATTTTAATAATATTAATTCTTCCAAATCAAGAATATATGAGGGAATTCCATTATTTTGTGTCTGCTTCATTTTCTTTCATTAGATTCAATGTGTTTGAATTTCATTGAAGAGGACTTTCACATGCTGGTTGAACTTATCACAAGGTATTTAATTTTTTGTATCTGTATAGAATTAGATAGCACTTACCAATTCTCATCATGATGGTTGAGTATATAATAAGGCCATTGATTTTGGAATTCCACACTGTGTAGCTAATAAAGAATTACTAATCCAGAACACATAAGGAATGGAAACACTTCCCCTGTCAGGTGGAGGCCTCACAGCAGGAATGTGGGATTTCCCTGGGTCATGAAGGGGGATGTGAGTGAGTTGGAGGTGTTTGTTACATGTGGATGCTGTGTGTGATCCATTCCATCTGTGCTACTCTGACATTAAACACACTGCTTATCTGCCCCATGTGCAGGGGACATAGGGTGACAATGACAGTGACTCTAATTCAGCAAGGGCAAAAATGGAGCCTACAAGGAAGTCATGAATCCAAAAGTTTTCAAGTTGAGATGGGCAAATCCAACAGGACTTCCTGGGATAGGTTTCAAGGCTGAGGACTAATCCTCTGTGATGTGGGGCCTTGCCTCTGGGTCTCAGCCTGTGATACTTCCTTCTTCATTTGAACCAGTACTTGTCTTTTCTTCTCACACTCCTCTGATGTGTGTCTTCTTCCTGGTGTTAGCAGCCTTCTCTTGGTTGTTTTGCACATACACCTTACCTGAGTCAGTCTGCCAATGCCCCGTGCTTGGCTCTGACCACATTCTACCAGGGGCTGTTCTCACGATCTCAGGCACATCAGGAAAATCTTTATTGACCTGATTTCTGTTGGTCATTGTTGTTTTTAATTTTTTATCTTTGAAACTAGCAGCATTGCCTCGCAGAAAAGCTGGGTCCACAGAGGTCCAGAATGAATCTCTACTCTCCCTGACTCCAGGAGACAAAAAGAAGAACATGGATCTCCATACAGAAATGACCTCCATGAGGTCTGACAGTCTCCACCATTGCAGCAGAGGAGAAAACCTGAGGGAGAATTCCAGAGGTAAGGGACCACACAGGACAGGCAGGGCTGTGTTAAATACTCATTCACCTTATGTATTCTCTGCTCCCATTCTATCACCCATTGATTGAAAACAGACAGAGAATACATAATGGGACAATAGAAATGTGGGAAAAGCTGTGTCCAAGGAATGACCCTCATACTTTGTTTGTTTTTAGGAGCAGTAATAGCAGTGCTTTATCTGAAGTCTACAAAACCCAACAATGCATTCTTGGAAGACAAGAGCCATGCTCGGCACAGGGAAGCTGGAGGTCAAAGCTCATGGGGTGGCCCTCCTTCCATCAGCTGTGGTGCTGAGAAAACCTCTTAGTCTCTATGGACCCCAGGTTCCTCATCAGTGAGGTAAAGTGTGTATTGTTCCTCTCTGAGGTCCTGCTGCTTAGGTTCCTCTGAGTCCCTGGGGAACCACACGTGCCCTGGGAACTGAGGCTGAGAGCTGACCTAGTCCCTCCTGTGTCTCCTCCCAGATCCGGAACTGAGTCCACATCCTGAGAACCCAGAACTGAAGGTGCAGATGAAGGAAGATGAGCAGCTCTCTGGGACGTGAGAATGACCCAGAGAATGACAAGGTAATGTTAGGGTGAAACCAAGTGTGGGTGAGATGAAGGACACATTGTGTCAGAAACCTCAGGGGATACTCAGAAAGGCCTACTCCACTGTCCAGCCCCTGAAGGAGCCACCTTCCATGAGTACTGAGGTCAGGAGAGAAACTGACTCCACAGTGAACCTGTGCACCTGGCCAGGGAGATCCCTGGATGGAATCAGAGCAGGTTTATGCTGAACACAAGCTTTCCATGCAAGCTAGAGATCCTGGTAACTTCAGTGTCACCACCAAAAAAAAAAAAAAAAAAGAGGGAGAGAGAGAGAAAGCACAGCCTTCCTGCCCTCTTCAGCTAGGTACATTTTTCCACCCATGCTCAGTTCTGCCATGCAACACACTGCACAATCCAATAAAATGGCAGTGGTGCAGTCACACGGCCCCAAAGTAAGGATCCCCATGATCCCCACATGGGGCCAAGACCTATGTACATTGTTCACAAGGCTTTTTCTTTCTCTGTGCTATAGTGTGAAAGCACTCACAGAACTCAGTAGCCAAAATAATTAATCATTCATCTGAGAAATTGGCAAAGGACCTGAGTAGACATTACTCATGAAAGGAATATGCATTGCTACCAGGTTTATGACAAGTTGCCCATTATCAGTACTCATCAGGGAAACACCATTCCAAACCACAGAGGGATATCCCCTCAGAACCATATGGTCAGCTGCTTTCACAAAGACAAGAGAGAATAAATGTGGGCAAGGGTGTACCAAAAAGGAAACACTTTTACATTTGTGTGAGAATGTTGAGTGGTATGGCCATTATAGAAAACATTATTGAAGTATTTTTGAAATGTTAAACTAGAACTGTCAAATGACCCATTCATCCTCCTTATTGGTATATGTGCAAAAAAAGAAGAAACAAAAAACCGTATCAGATATATACCTGCAATCCCTAGTCGATGCCTTATTCACAGAGGCCAAGATGCAAACTGCCTAAATGTCCATCAACAGAAGGTTGGTTAAGCAATCTTGCTGTCCATATATATGGCTTGAAAAGTATATTTTAATAAAAGGATACTACAGAATTTCCATGACACTTTGGAATCACTTGAAGCTTTTGAATCATTCTTAACATGTCTGTGTATAGATATTTATATACATATAATGTGTAACAATACATTATACATGATAGATGTATGATGATGCTTAAATATATATTTATATGATGGAATGCTGTTCAACTCAAAGATAAAGGAACTCCTGTCATTTGTGAGAAACTGGATGAAATTGGAGGACATTATGGTGAGTGAAATAAATGAGATATAGAAATAATAACACTGCATGAAGTCTGTTATGTGTGGAGTCTGAAAGAAAAAATGGAAAATTGTTGAATATGTCAAAACAGAGAATATAAGAGAAGTCTTCAAGGTGGTGCAGTCTGGTGGGAAGAATAGAGAAATGTTGACCCAAGAGTACAAAGTGGTAGTTATAGAGAAGAACTAAATCTAGGGTTCTGAAGTTAAGCATGAGAATCTGAGTTATTAGTGGAGCATGCTATTCTCCATTAGAATGAGAAAGTCTGAGAATTTTCTAACAGTAGATTTTGTGGGTTCTTACCATGTGCAGGCACATAAAGGTTAACTGTGAGATGATGAATATTTTATTTACTAGTCTAGAGGAATCATTACACTATGGATATGTACATTACAATATCATTTTTGAATATTTTAATAATTATTTTAAAAGATGTATTATTCTATTTGAAAAGCAGAGTTACAGACAGAGAGGAACACACACACACTGAGAGGGAGAGACCTTGCATCTTCTGTTTCACTCCCCAAGTGCCTACAACAACCAGGGCTGAGCCAGGCCAAAGCCAGGAGCCCAAAATGCCATCTGGGTATCTCACAAGAGCTCAAGGGCCAAGGACATAAGCCATGTTCCACTGCTTTCCCTGGCACCTCAACAGGGAGCTGGATCAGCTGAAAGTGGAGCCGCTGGGACTCCACCAGCACTCATAGAGGAGACCAGTGTCTCAAGTGGTGGCTTACCCCACTATGCCACAGTGGAGACTCCTACATCTATTTAGACATCAGAATTTAAAATTTCAAAAAAAAAAAAAAAACAGTTTTGATCATCCACTCAAATGGAAACCTTAAAATGTGCAGCTTTTGGGACTGGCATTTCATTCAGCAGTTAAGTGGCTTTTGCAATGCTCACATATAGGCCCTACATATAGGATGCCTGTGGGTGAAACTGAAAGTGGAAAGAAGTGGTTACTAAAGGAGGATGCACATTCCCTGAAGGGAGGAGAGAACTTCCTCTTTGCTTATGGCCTTGTCGAGCTAGGTGGATCCAGAAGGCTTCTGTAGCTGAGGCAGCTCATGTCAAGCGCCCTGGGTGAGCACTGAGGTCAGACATAAGAGTGTGATTTGTTAAAGACACAGTGAGAGCCACTGTGCACTGCCCTCTGTCCTCAAAGCTATATCAAGGGACTTCATAGTAGAACTGTTCTCCAGAATCACTTCCTTTTAGTGCATTAAATGGAGGATATTCTTATGTCTCATAGGTTATAGTTCTGTCTAAGAGCTCACAGCAGATGTATCATCCGTGGGTTCTTCTTTGAAGACAATTAAGTTTCTAAAAGGAAAGAAGGGAGAAGAGGAAGGGAATAGCAGAAGGGGGCAAAAAGTGAAATCCCCTTTGAGAAGCAGTAACCTTGGACAGCCCTTTGCTAGGCTGCTGAGTAACAGTTCTCTTAGTTTTCTTGTTCCATTCTGTCTTTTTTTCTTTCTCAGACTAAACAGGAGAGTTGGAGGAGGAAGAGGGGGAGAATAGGTGGGAGGGCAGGTAGGTGGGAAGAAGGACTATGTTCTTAACATTGCATTTATGCCATAGATACAACATTAAATAAGAAGTTAATTTAAAAAACCACTTCAAATATGTAACACCCATATTCCTCAAAATAAGTTTGCCATCATTATAAAATTAGTTGCAGTAATTATATATAAATATATTATTAAAAGCATTAGGTTCTTCCCATACATTTGCAGAACAAATTGGAGTTCTGCACACCAAGTGTCACCCTGGCCAAGCCTGACTGTTGCATGCTTTTGGGGAGTGAAATAGTAATGTAACACATAGTTTTGGTTGTGTTTCTCTGTGTGTATGTCTCTACATCTTCATCTTTACATCTCAAATAAGTATAATTAAACAAAGAACATTTTCATCCATATGTTCAAATTAATATGTTCAAATTTTCTGTTCAAAGTCATTGATAAGAAGATGAATATACAGGCCAACATAGGGAGAAACTTTTTTGAAATTGCATACCTAATATAACAGTTCTATCCAGAAAACTAAAAGAGCTCTCAAAATTCCTTTCTAAGATAATAAAATGACCCATTTATCAGGGAAGCTTAAAATTCAGCATTTCAAACAGGTAGAAAAGCCTTGAGATCTCTTTAAACAGCAGGTGGGGTGACTTCCTAACAGCCCTGAGAAAGGAAGGCTTGTTGGGACACATTTTCTGCCTTGGTATTTTCATACACATACATGACTATATGAGCGATACATGCTTAGGTGATTTGGGGACACGGTCTGTAGTATCAGTGCAGGATCTATAACTATGAGACTGGCAGATGGGTAGGTTGTCCCCACCAGTGGGGGTCTTGTGCCTCAACCTAGCTTAGGCCCCTGGAAGGCAGAGTTCCAAAGATTCCATGACACGCTCCACCTTCTAATTCTGTGATGGCAACGGCAGACCGTTAGCTGCCACACAACAGCCAGTCCTAGCAGAGACTGAGCTACAGGCAGTGCCTTGAATCTAGGCTTTGGCAGTTTTATCCTTGTTTGTCCAGTGAAGAACTTCCCAGTGTTGTCGGGCAGTGGATCAGGTGTTTCACATCAGTAAGTGAAGCTGGACAGTTATTGTCACCCCTCAAGCCTACCTGAAACTCTTGGATGTCATTTGTTTGAACCTCACCTGTGTTTGGGTTTCCTCTCCCCAGTCCCTGTTGTCCTGCTGTGACACACCATCAGCATGGCAGGATCCCACAGCCCTGCCTCAGATCCTGAGGCAGAACTGAATGACCTCGAATGCCAGCAATTGAGATCCCAGCTGGCAAAGAGCCAACAGGACTGCTGGGAGCTCCAGGAGAAGTTTCTCATAGCTGAGGCTACAAACTTTGCCCTGGCCAGGGAGCTGAAAAAATACAGTAAGTTCTCTCGGGTCATTTCACCACAGTGATGATTGTCCTGTATCTTCTCCTGAGGAACTAAATGGCCTCACTACTTGATTGTTGTCTTCTTTTTGCTGAACTTAATTTCCTCCTGACCACACTCCCAAGCTGACACACAGGGTTTCGCAAGTTTTCCAAGGTAGCAGTGAGTTGTAGGGTGACAGGAGTGCTGAATCTTTCATGGATTCCTGTTGAGGCATCGAGCTGCCTGTTGTCCTCAGGGTCAGGCTCCACCATATTGAGTGCATGTTTATGATCATCCTGTCTGTGTCAGCTCCTGCAGCCTTATACCATCACTGTGGGCCTCATTTCTGGGGCTAACGCATTTCACTCAATTCAAGCTTCCGTTGAGTTCCCATTGGCAGAGCACTGTCCTAGGTCAGGAGTGGACATGTGTTCAGAGTGAGCAGGATGTGCTTCCAGAGAGACAGAGAGTCTCCTGTGCACTAGAACTCTGGTATCCATGGGAACACCCTCACAACACAGCCTCCCCACTGGGAGAAAGTCCTGCTCCTGGAGCACAAGTTCTTCTTCCAGAAGAGGAAGACGCTGCCTGAGACCTGGGAGTGGGAGCACAGGGTGTAGGGGGGGAATCAGGGTCACTCACCTGGGTGCTCCCCATTGCCCACCTTCTCTGTAACTTCAATTTCTCTCCCATTCATAGGTGCTATCATAATTCCTGCCTCTGTAGATGTCACAACCAAATGCGCTCCTTCTTTCCTATACAGCTCCAAGGATGGTTCCTTGCTCAAGATCAACAGAATCCATGAGGCCCTTATTGTACTGTTTCCAATTTAGCAGGAACTATACTTTTTATTGGGCCATATTGCCTCAGGGCCTTACTTTGTTATACATTGTACTCTACACAGTTCCATGAAACATGGTCCCTTAAGTCTGAAATAACAAACACTTGAAATCTTTCCCAATGCAAGGAAACAGTCCTACACCCTTATCAAGCTCCCAAACATACAGAAGGTGACAACTTCATGCCCCAAGTTCCTGTTTGACCTGAGAGGCTGCAAGACTTGCTGAGTCCAGTGGCTCATGATTCAGCTCAGGGGCTGGGAACTCTGATTCTGTAAACACCAGTGGAATCACATTGTCAAGTCACCTTCTGTATCTTTGAAGTCCTTTTTTCTCAGTTTATTGGGAAATAGCAGGGTCAGTGCTGTGGTTCAGCAGGTAAAGCCGCTGCCTGCAGTGCTGGCATCCCATATGGGTACTAGTTCAATTCTGGCTGGTCCACTACCAATCCAGCTCTCTGCTATGGCCTAAAAAGCAGTAGAAGATAACCAACGTGGCTAGGCCCTGAATCCACATGGGAGACCTAGAAACAGCTCTTGGCTCCTGGCTTCACATTGGCACAGCTCCAACCTTGCAGCCATTTGGGGAGTGAATCAGCTGATGGAGTCTCTCTCTCTCTCTCTCTCTCTCTCTCTGCCTATGTCTCTCTGTAACTCTGCCTTTCAAATAAATAAATCTTTTAAAAATAGGAAATTTCAGATGCTATGTAGTGAGGTGATGAAATACAGATGTGAAACTCCCAATCTGGAGCCTGGCCCTGGAGTTCTTTTGGTCTTCAGCAGGCACTGACTACAAAAGCACCTCCCTGAGTTCTGCGTGTCTGTCTTTCCCCAGATTGTGAGAAGTTTAAAAACATCATTGAGTCCATACTGACCAAGAAGCTCCACTTGGTGGAACCACTGGCAGAGAAGCCCACGGTCCCAGAGCTGCTCAGGTAAGTGTCTCTGTGTGGGGCAGGCAGGTGGGGAGGGGTGTGGGTGTCTCTGGTGTGGCAGCTCAGAAGGGAGAACTGAGGCATCTCAGGCATGGAAAGCCATGAAGGCACTGTGGCAAACAATGTTCTCCATGTAGGATCACTGTGGGACCCCAAAGAAGTGGCCATCAACGGAGGATGCACTTTTCTCTAAGGGAGGAGAGAACTTCCACTTTGCTGATGGCCTTGTCTAAATACAGACAGAGTTTTCAAAATGCTTCCATAGCCTAGTCAGCTCATGTCATGAGCCTTGTGTGGTCCCTGACAACATACAGAGGAGTGCTAATTGTTCAATTAACAGCAGGAGTCACTGTGCACTGACTCCCCATGCAGGACCTCTGTTCTCAATGAGTTGTATTAAGAGAGAGTTACAGTGAAACATTTCTCAAACAGTTTTTATTCTTGGGTGGGTGTGTGTGCACATTGTTGAAATCGTTACTTAATATAGAGTTGGTCTTCTGTGTACAAAGTTCATTGAAAATGCATCTTAAAGGAGAATGAGATTGAGAAGTAGAGAGGGAAGAGGAGCTGGGCTGGGAGTGTGGGTGGTACCCTGGGTATGTGGAGAATAACTATATTCCTAAAGTTGCCTTATGAAATGTATATTCCTTAAAATAAAAGAATGAATAAATTTTTAGAAAGAAATGGTAAAAATTAATTTTACAATGAAAGTAAAAGTGAATAGGTACTTTGAAAAAATTCTCCCTTCAGGAGAATTTAAAATGAAAATACTATTCCCTCCGCAATTACTGTTTATTTCTGTAATAAAATGGTATGAATAGATAATAAAAAAAAGACATCATGGAGTCCATGTTGACCAAGAAGCTACACATGGAGGCCCCTGCCAAAGCAGTCCAGGTCTGAGCTGCTCAGGTAAGGCTCTCTGTGTAGGGCAGGCAGGTGGGGATGTGTGACACTAGTGGGCAGCCCAAATCAAAAACTGAGCCAGCCTGTGCCAGACAAGGGCAGAGAGTTTCAGCAAAGCCCCATGTCTCAGACGTTATGAAACAAGGAGGGAGCAGAGGAATCTGAATTCAGAGCTGCAAGTGCGGAGAGTCTGTAAGTAAGGTGTCCAGGTGGATGGGCTCCCATGGGGCCCTCCTGTTTACTCTCTCTTCTGCAACAGGAAATCCCCATGGCTGTGTTTCTGGGAATCCAGTCACCAGTTAGCTTTGGTCCTCTGTAGGTGGTGCTATGCCTGTTCTCTCTTCCTCCCGTGTTCTCATGGTTCCCTTAGTGTGGAGGTGTTTTTCTGTGGGCACTCAACTCAAGATGGAGCTGCATTGGGTCTTCTCGGGGGAGGAGAGGGGATGCTGGACTCCTCTGTTTGGTCATCTTGCAATCAATCCTCATTTACCCTTAGTCACCATCACCTCCTGATATAGAAGACTGATGCTTAGCTTGGCCCTGCCAGACCTTCATTCTTGTTTCTTGCCATGTAACCCCTGTGTGCACCATGAATCCCAGTCACTACACTGTACACTGTGTGTCTTCCTACATGGAAATGCCTGTGGCTGGAAGGAGGAACTGAATTAGCACCTTTATGAAGGCGAGGAAGGAAGAATCCTTGCACTCTTGAAAGAACATCACCTGCATGGAATCTCAGGAATTGTGACAAGATCTTTCTCTAAAAGTGGGAGCAAGGCCTTGTGTTGCCCTTTGCTGTTCTTGGCACAGGTATTTCTCCAAACCTGAGTGGTGATGCTGGTGGAGGGCTCTATAAGGCATTGTTATGAAAATCTGTGGAAACACAGAGAGCCTAACACTCATTCCTTCCCATCTAGAACTTTCTCCACTCTTGCACCTTAGGCATTGCCGTGGCATCCTTGAAGATCAGGACCAAGAACTTTCCCAGTTACGCCCAAAGGTCCAAAGGGGGAGAAATCTAGCCCACATCCTGCAGCAGTACCTGAAGGACGTGCTCACCGTGCATGACCCTGAGACCTGTACGGGGCAGGGCTTCCGACGACTGCTCACTGAGGCTGTCCGGCTGTCAGCGTGCCTTGAGGACCTGCTAGGAGCAGGTAAGCTGGGCACAGGCTGTCATGTGAGAAGCCTCAGGGGTTCAGATGCATTCATCTCTGCCATGGGCATTTGCCTCAGCTCTTCTTGGTACTGAACATGTGTACCAGGACAAGGTCAGCACTGCTTGGGAAAAACAGATAGGGGCAGAGAAGTCTTTCAAGTTTGCAGTATCCCAAAGGTCTCCTCCCTTCCTGATTGTGGTTGGCCATTGAGGGAAGAGGCAGGGTCCACCCTCATATCAAGACCAGAAAGACCTTGTGAAGTGAGGCCACTGTTAGGCTGAACAAAGTCACTGAGCTAAGTTGAATGGAAGCCTCCAGCTCTGTGCTCAGTGTGGTTTTCAAATGGTAGACAGCTGATTGCTTTCTCAATCCAGGATTTCTCTTGCCTCATTCACTAGATGGACCAAAAACTCTGGGGCAGAGCAGATGTAACCATCAAAGGTGGAAGCTGTTGCTTGTAGGTTTCCCAATAGGACAAAGGCCCTCCTCTCCCTGGGAGTGTCAGACCAGGCACTAGAGTTAGTAGAACTTCAGTGAGGAAAGCTGTTGAGAAGGGACTCGTAACACAGAGAGAATTTCCTCTAATGATACAGCAGAGAAACCTTGGAGGGCCTGTGAGGGAGGGATGGAAGTCGGGTTCTTTGCTTCTTCATGACAGATGGAGGTTCTCTGTGAGACCCACGGGAACATAGAACCCATGCCTTGGACTCCCACTAGTGGCAGGATGAGGGATAACAGGCAGAGGTCCTAGGGAAGCTTGAGAAGCTTCCAGTGATATGGGAGCAAAGGATGTTGGCCTAGTTTCAGGCAGATTCTGCCATGATTCTGATCTCCAAGTGCAGAGACACAAAGCCTAATGGACCACAAGAGAATGGTAAGGCATTTCTTTAAACACAGAACATTTGAAGTTTTTGTCCACTATTGGCCCATATGTAGATATTCATATGCACACAGAGGCCACCTTGATTGTAGTGGGGGGGTTATAATATCTGATTGGACATTTCTGAATTTGTTTACAGAAAATATTGAAGAGGAGGAAACACCAGCACAAGGACCTATTGCTGACAGGTAATAGTGAATGATTAGGAGCTGGCAACAAATGGGTGAAGGATGCACAGGGTCTCGTAAAGAACAGAAAAGGGGCCGAGGCAGTCATGGAGTTGAGGCACACACAGAAACACAACTGCAGATTGTGTTGAGTCCTTCCTTGCCAACTAGGAAATCCCCCTGTTAAAGTAGGTGTCTGTTGTCCTGGTCCGAGTTGCTGATAGGATCCATCATGAACTCACAGCCTTAGGTGTTGCCTGCACACAAAGGGAACCTCTGTTCTCTGCTTTCTGGAAAAGGGAGGAAGATGTACATCTGCTTTCTACAGAGTTAGCTGAAGTTCTCACCAGAGAAACTAGCAAAGAGGCAATGTGCAAAGGGAGCAGTTAGGAAGAATCCAGCCAGGTTAAACTGCAGAAAAGCACCTCTACAAACCATGTTTGCTGTCCTGTGACTTGGTTAAGAGAAGGCCCAGAAGGTAGCACATCTCTAGAATCTGCCAAGCCCCTAGAACCTTGATCACATGGCTGCAGGACACTGCAACAACCCAACCTGAGCACAGGGTGTCAGCCCGCGTGGCTGTCAATGTGTGCTTGTGCTGTGACTGTGCCATGCAGCGACAGTGGAGGCTGCTTCCTCATTAGCTGCTGTGTATTGAGTGTGATGAGCAGAGGCTGATCTCTTCCCAGGCCCTCTCCCCCTAGGCAGCCACACAGTGTCCAGAGTGGAGGGAACCACCTCTATGCTGTCTGTGACTGATCCCTTATGCACCCCATCCAAACCAGCCAACTCCCTGGTGTCTCTTCCTTCTTGGTTTAATCTCTGTCATCCTTATCCCACCTGGCTTCTCAGGGAGCTCTTGGAAGTGGATGAAATGGAAACCCCACAAAATTCACAGCAGGAAACATCTATCACTGGTGCTGTTGACCACCTGCTGAGTGACTCCTGCCTGCCTGAGGGCACTGTGCAAATGTCTCCTGATGCTGAGGACACCCACAGTGTGCTAGGTGTAGATGGGGAACACGCTTGTTCACAAAAGAAAGAAGAACCTGTCACCGTTCTCCCAGGTAGCCTCTCCATTCTTTGTACACAATGGCTCTCAGGTTGAGGGTCACTTTTGAGCACAGGCCCTGCAGACACAAGTTGGTTTCAGTCAGGGTCCAGGTTGTGGCACTGAACATAGACATCAGGAGAGTCAAGGAGCTTCCCTCCCCTCAGATGCAGTTTGTCTCACTGCACCCTAGCCTAAGGGAACATACAGAGGCCCTGTGTAGGAAGTGCCTTTCAGACACTCTAACTTAGAAATAATGCCTGCTGTCACCTGCAGTGATATCATTCTGTTCTACTACTGCATCCCTGGAGTTCTAGTCCCATGCAGGCTTTTAGTAACACTTCCCATGTGTGGGCCAAGTTGTGATCCTAGTTTCCCTACTTCCATCCCTAGTCTCTATCTCCTTTAAGACAGCTTATCTTAGCTATTCAATGATCTCAAAACCAGGATATAAAGTCTTTTATACTGTACTTCCTGTACAGTTCAAAAAACATAGCTGAATCCAGGAACGTCCCTACAAAATCAATGTTCAATGTTTCTCTATAACTGCATAGATTTATTTGTGCGAGGTATTATGGAGTTCATTCAGCCTTCTATAGAAACTCCTCTACCCTTATTCACCATGATCAGTCTGATAGGATGAGTCAGTACTATAGCAACACTCCTAGATTTTAGATACATAAATCCTAAAGGGCCGGGGGAGAGAGCTCTTGAATTGCTTGTATTGTTCCCATAGACAAGAGGGAGATTATTCATGAGCAATTCTTGGAATAGCGAAGATTCTGTGTGGCATCAAACAGGTTTCAATTCCAGGGCATCAGACTCCATGCATAGCTCTCTCCCAGTGTTCTACCTCCTCTCCACAGTCAGCAACCTGGATCCTTTAATGAGAGCAGCCTGACAACTGCAGTTTGCCTCCTAGGAAGTTCTTGGGCTGTGAGCTTAGAATCCCTGAGGACTATTGCAGGCTGTTTCTAAGGGTTCTGGACAGAGGTTATTGAGATGGTGATCCAACTGTGAACAGGGAGATTTGACCCCTTGCCCAGGATGGCTCACCAAGCCCATCTCCTGATGTCAACTTAGTCCTCCTGGAGGATTTCTGTCACAGTCTCCTGTTGTCACACAAGAACAATCTGTCCCTTTGGTAGTAGTGGCCATCGGACACGCATATCTGACCAAAACCTGCTTAACCTGTTCAATCTCTCTGAATTTGTTTGCAGAAAATCAATATCACGAAGTGGAGGTACAAGAGCAAGTTGTCACATACACTTCCAGGTAACTCGGAGGCAGAGCAGACAGTGTAGTATGGACTACTAGGGAATCAAAATGCTGGAGAAACTGGTGACTAGAGCCAGTTGGAACATTCAGCCAATGATGAAATGGCTCTTTTCATAACGTTCCCTTTTGTATTGTTTCCCTCTATATTCCCCCTTTGAACATCCTTCACATATTTTTACCTGTAGTCTGATAACAAAGTCACTTCTGTACTTGTGATGCGTGTCTTCAGTGTCTCTGCCCTCCCATCTCAGCAGGGAGCTCCCAGAGGAGCAAGAGCAGGAAGATCCAGATGACTCACTGGACGAGTGCTACCTCACTCCCTCGATTTCTCCAGTCGTTTCTGAGCTTGACCATTCCACGTGGAGCAGCTGGTGCTCCCTGGAGCATCAGGACATGCTCTCTGCTCCAGATGCAGGTGGTGAGTCCCCCACTGTGAGGTGATACAACCCCCTCTGCTTGCCAAGGAGCCCGCACTATCCTTGCACTCATCACTCCCACCTGACTGAGAGGGCTCCTGGACATGGGATGGTCTGAGACATTCTCAGCATCTGTGCTTTTTCAACCAGTCTGTTGCACAGGTGTGGTTGGCCCATCCAGCCTTGCTGTCCTCCCATTCCTTGTGTGGCTTTGTCACTCAGGTTCCAGTGCTCAGTCATTGCCAGAAGAATGTCACAGATGCACACCAACCTAAGCAGCACATCTCATGCTTGTCTCTGCCATCCGTTCTGAATGAAGCAGACCCCTCTGCCCCCTGCAGTGTTGATCACACGAGTCATTCCCGTCCCTGTCATGTGACATTGTTTCCTGTCAGGGCCAGCAGCGTGCTCGTCTCCATTGCAGTCAAGATACTCCCCCTGTTTCATTGAAACCAACCATGTTGTCTGTCCCTTCAACGTTGGCATCATTTCACCTACCACACATACAGAATGTTCTGCCATTCCTTTAGTAGTGTGTCCCCAGGCTGCAGGTCTGAGACCTGTGCTTAGAGATTCCATGAGTAGCCAAGTTTTCTCTTGTGCTGCACACATGCATTCTGATACCCAGAACTGAAAATTCACCTGTTCCACCTTTTATCTTATCCTCAATGTACAAAATATGGTAAACCACAAACTACCAAGATAGCTTGTTTGAGAACCATGGGCACTGCACTTCCTCTCATGGAAAGGAATCACACTATTATTTTAGATTTGATTTTACCTTATGAAAGGCAGAATTAGAGAAACTGGGAGAGAGAGAGAGAAACAGGGAGAGAGAGAGAGAGGCAACTCTTGCATACTCTGGTCTGCTCCCCACATGGCCACAATGGCATCGACTGGACCAGGCCCAGGGAGGAACTAGGAGTTTCCTCCAGGTCTCCTATGTGGGTGCAGGGCCCAAGTACTGGACCATCTTCTACTGCATTCCCAGGTGCATTAGAGGGATTTGGATCAGAAGTAGAACAGCCAGGACTTGATCCGGCATTGACATGGGATCCTGGGGTTAAAGGCAGCAGCTTTACCTGCTTGCCACAGCACCCACACTTGGGAAAATTTGTTTCATTTCTGTAGGTAATCAGGTCAGTGATTATTGGTGTGATGACTGGAGGAATAGGGAGGTTTACCTCATGTGTCAAGAAAAATGAACAAGCTAGTTCCCTCAGAAATGACCTCCACCCTCTAGACAATTCCTATCTGAGGAGTCAGCATTGAAACTGAGGATACTGGTGTGCTGTACTAGTGCTGGACAGCGCATTGTACAGGCTTTGAGGGGATCATCCTAGATGACTGTGCCTATTTGAATTCATTTGCAGAAAAGAAACATGACAATGATGAAGTGCAAGAGGAAGCACAAGCCCTGTCACACACCAGGTGAGTCTTAGGAACCCTGGGCAGCGAGCTTAGTGCTGACACAGGCAGACTCCAGGTCCAGAGAAGAAGAGCAGTGCCACTGTGCATCTCCCATCCATTGAGCCAACCCTGCAGTACCCCGTCAGCACTGCTGTCTGCCATCATTAGGGTACTAGTCTGGGTTTCCACTTCTCCCTACCTTTTCCACGTAGTGACCTGCAGCAGGCTGACTCCATGAAGGAGCCTCTCCAGGGATTCCTTGCCATCATTGCCCCTCTGTCACGTGCAGTGAAGGGCAGGGTGCTGCTCACAGGTCTCCTCTTCTCATGAGCTTCTCTGCCCCCCATTAATCACGTTAAACCACCCGACAGAAACTAGTGCCTCAGCACTGAGAATAAGACTGACGGCTAAATCCGTGGTAGTCTCCAGTATCCCAAAGGGGAATTCATTGACTCTGCATGTAGTTTACATAAATCTGTTGAAGCCAGTTTTCATTTCCCAAGGACCAACTGAGAGTCATTTCTACAGGCTGAGTCCCTAATGACCTCATCACAAATGACCTCATCACAGAGGAAATCCTCTGTTTCTCTCTGCTTCTGTCTCCATATCCTTTCAATATCACCTCAAACCTAATACTCTTTCTCCAAGAAGATGAGAGTTCTGTTTGCCTGTTTACTTTAAAATGACTTCAAGCAGTACAAATAAGCATAAAGAAGTCTACAAGCACACATAGATTTAATATTTGGCTGTAGTTGATTCGTGTGTAAATATTATATATCTACACATACTTACTATTCTCAGTGAAGGAAGTGGTGTTTCTGTTTTACCTGGCTTTCTGTTTGCCACGTGCTTCCTATGAGCACTTCATTTTTCCTCACATGAAAGCTGCCCTGTTTTAATGTTCAGGTCATCTACTCCAGGTGGTCAGCAAGGAGCCTCCTCAAATGGAAGACATTGCATCCTGTCTGCACCGTTAGTAGCCATTCTTCCCCAGATAGGGACAAAGTTGTGGGTGGCCCCTTGCTCAGCCCAGCCACTTCTGGAAGCCTCCTCTTTGGAACAGCTTGGAAAGGGGCTTTCTGTTCCCTTTCTGTTTCTCACCCACCTTTCCCTCCCTCCAGTCTCATCAGGGAGATTCCAGAGATTGAAGATCAAGATGTCTCACAAGACTCTCATGGTATGTGTTTGACTCCTGCACTTCTTCCGGAAGCTTCTGACTGCTCCCATACTAGCAGCACCTGGTCCTCACTGGAGAAACAGCCTGTCTGCTCTGCTCTTGTTGTAGACAGTGAGTGCTCCATTGTGAACGGGAACACTCCACTGCTCTCCCAGGTGGCCTCTGTAGTCTTGGGTTGCTGCACCTGTGTTGGGTGAGACAGACCACTGTGCACTCAGTCCCTGGGGACTTAGTCTGGATGTGGCTCTTGGATGGAGTTTGTTCATAGTCATCCAACAGGGGAATCCCTTGGCTGTCACCAGGCCCACTTTCAAGGTGCAGCTTTTGATGTCAAGACAGGGAAGGAGTGGATGGGAAAGCATGATGGCAAACACCAAGCCACCACCATCTCTCTTGGAGAGGCTTCTTTAACAAGTTGCTGTGATGCTCTTAATTTTAACAACAGTTGCAATTGTAAACAGCATCCTCCAAACTTCTCAGGCTTAAAGTTTTGGCAGTCTGTACAATGTTTCCTTAGTTATCTGACACTAGGTATCCTTGGTAGGCAGACTCTGTTTTCTCTGAAGCAGCTTGGTGCTAACCACAGCAGTCCAGTCCCGCACCTGTGTCCATGGTGTGGTTTTCATCTTCTGCTTTACAGCACTGATTTGTGCTCATATGAGGTCTGTAGTTTTAATCCAGTGTCTAAACTCAGCATTTTATTCTCATGCAAAGCCTCCATAACCTTGTACCAGGACAGGAATCTATTCAGTATCTGAGTGAGGCTGAGGGGTCCCTCACGTCATCACAGGCAGAGTGCCTCTTGTTGAGTAGGAGCCTTGAAGTATTGCTTCATGGGGGGGTGCAGAGAAAAAGTCCAATTTCCTTGAATCTGAGCTTTGATGAGGTTCTACACTTTCTCTCAGCAGGAATCTTTAGGGTTTGAGGCACCTTCACTCATCGAATCATTCTGTAGGAAAATCAAGAAATCCTGATGCCCTTCCCTGTTTCTCAAAGTTCTGCAGTAGAATTGGCAATGACAGTTGTCCCCCCAATGCTATAGATCAGCAGGCACCTTTTCTTGGTGAGACCATGCACTTTTCCTCTGTACAGACGTACAGAGATGTGCAGAGTCATCCCAGGACACAGCGATTCACACCCAGCTATGAAGGCCACTCTCATGGGCATCTGTGCTGTGCTAGACCCTGTGCTGTCCTGATCCAAGCAACCCTCACTGGACCTCTCCTGGTGGAGATTCTGTCCCCACCTTGGGGAGAGGATCCTGAGGCTCAACAAGGTCACTCTCCCAGGTCACCCCACCTTGTGTGCATTGCAATCAGAGACCACTCCTTTGCCTGGCCCTTGTCTGTAGGCTCAGTCCACTTGTTTTCAGCACACATGCCAGCGATGTGGCTGCTATGGGTATTCATACTTAAAACTTTTCTTCTGTAACAAATTGTGTTGAGAGAATTTCAAATATCAGTAGAAAAGTTCCGGTCTACAAAGAAGAACTTCTAAAGTTCCTGCAAACCTCTCCCACTAGGAAGGCATTGGTGTGCTTCGTCCCTGAGCAGGGTCAGCACCTCATTGAGGTTCTCAGATAGAACTCCAGCTCAGGAGTGCCCCATGGCCTGAAAGTTCCTGGTCTCTCCCCTCGGGCTTTTTGCACTCAGGGTCCCAGTGAGGCATGCCCATCTGCATTTCTGTCCAAAGTGGTTGCTGTTTCACAGAACAGAGTGCCCTGGATGAACGTTTCTAGGCTCCAGTTGTGCCTGGGATGTCTGACTGCAAGCATACAGGAGCTGCTTATGCTCAGAAAGCCAGAGCAGATTGGTGGGCAGTTTATGTACAGAATGATCCCTTTTGAGAGCAGGTAAACCTTCATCTCTGCCCCTGGTGACTGCTCTGTCCTTGTACTCCTATCCCCACTAGGATGAGTGAAGTCATTGCTACGTGCCAGACCTACAGACTTGTGGCTATAGACTCAAAATCCTGAATTGAGCTGTAAGCAGGAGTTAGAATTCATATTGTTTATTTGTTATGGAACAGAGTTGTGACCATTTCACAGCAAGCTCAGCAGCATGTGCCCCGGTGGTGTTTGCTCCCTCCTGGTTGGAACCTTGGAGGATCACTGTCGCGACTTGCTTACTTTTTCTTCAAAGCCAATCCTCAGCTCTGCCCTTTGACATCCATGCTTGTCCAGGCCACAGCATCCATATAGGCATCTCTGTCATTCATGTTCTCAATGGCGTTTCCATTGGAAGATGAATTGTCTAGGGAAGAGATCATCCAGAAATACATGCTCTTGAATTGCTTGTATTGTTCCCATAGACAAGAGGGAGATTATTCATGAGCAACTCTTAGAATAGCCAAGATTCTGTGTGGCATCAAACAGGTTTCAATTCCAGGGCATCAGACTCCATGCATAGCTCTCTCCCAGTGTTCTACCTCCTCTCCACAGTCAGCAACCTGGGTCCTTTAATGAGAGCAGCCAGATGACTGCAGTTTGCCTCCTAGGAAGTTCTTGGGCTGTGAGCTTAGAATCCCTGAGGACCATTGCAGGCAGTTTCTAAGGGTTCTGGACAGAGGTTATTGAGATGGTGATCCAACTGTGAACAGGGAGATTTGACCCCTTGCCCAGGATGGCTCACCAAGCCCATCTCCTGAGTCGACTTAGTCCTCCTGGAGGATTTCTGTCACAGTCTCCTGTTCTCACATGAGAACAATCTGTCCCCTTGATAGTAGTGGCCATCGGTAACCCATATCTGACCTAAAACCTGCTTAACCTGTTCAATCTCTCTGAATTTGTTTGCAGAAAATCAATATCACGAAGTGGAGGTACCAGAGAAAACTGTCACATACACTTCCAGGTAACTTGGAGGCAGAGCAAACAGTGTAGCATGGACTACTGGGAATTGGTAGCCAGTCTTTCCCAGATAGGGACTAAGTTGTGGGTGGCCCCTTGCTCAGCCCAGCCACTTCTGGGAGCCTCCTCTTTGAAACAGCTTGTAAAGGGGCTTTCTGTTCCCCTTCTGTTTCTCACCCACCTTTCCCTCCCTCCAGTCTCATCAGGGAGATTCCAGAGATTGAAGATCAAGATGTCTCACAAGACTCTCACGGTACGCGTTTGACTCCTGCACTTCTTCCGGAAGCTTCTGACTGGTCCCATTCTAGGAGCACCTGGTCCTCACTGGAGAAACAGCCTGTCTGCTCTGCTCTTGTTGTAGACAGTGAGTGCTCCATTGTGAACGGGAACACTCCACTGGTCTCCCAGGTGGCCTCTGTAGTCTTGGGTTGCTACACCTGTGTTGAGTGAGACAGACCACTGTGCACTCAGGCCCTGGGGATGTATCTCAGTCTGGATGTGGCTCTTGGGTGGATTTGTTCATAGTCATCCAACAGGGGAATCCCTTGGCTGTCACCAGGCCCACTTTCAAGGTGCAGCTTTTGACGTCAAGATAGGGAAGGAGGGAATGGGAAGGCATGATGGCAAACACTGAGCCACCACCATCTCTCTTGGAGAGGCTTCTTTAACAAGTCACTGTGATGTTCTTAATTTTAACAACAGTTGCAATTGTAAACAGCATCCTCCAAACTTCTCAGGCTTAAAGCTTTGGCAGTCTGTATGATGTTTCCTTAGTTATCTGATACTAGGTATCCTTGGTTGGCAGATTCTCTGTTTTCTCTGAAGCAGCTTGGTGCTAACCACAGCAGTCCAGTCCCGCACCTGTCTCCATGGTGTGGTTTTCATCTTCTGCTTTACAGCACTGATTTGTGCTCATATGAGGTCTGTAGTTTTAATCCAGTGTCTAAACTCGGCATTTTTTTCTCCTGTAAAGCCTCCATAATCTTGCACCAGGACAGGAATCTATTCAGTATCTGAGTGAGGCTGAGGGGTCCCTCACGTCATCACAGGCAGAGTGCCTCTTGTTGAGTAGGAGCCCTGGAGTATGGCTTCATGGGGGGGACAGAGAAAAAGTCCAATTTCCTTGAATCTGAGCTTCAATGAACTTTTACACTTTCTCTCAGCAAGAATCACTCATCAAATCATTCAGTAGGAAAATCACGAAATCCTGATGCCCTTCCGTGTTTCTCAATGTTCTGCAGTAGAATTGGCAATGACAGTTGTCCCCCCAGTGCTATAGATCAGCAGGCACCTTTTCTTGGTGAGACCATGCGCTTTTCCTCTGTACAGATGTACAGAGATGTGCAGAGTCATCCCAGGTCACAGCGATTCACACCCAGCTATGAAGGCCACTCTCATGGGCATCTGTGCTGTGCTAGACCCTGTGCTGTCCTGATCCATGCAACCCTCACTGGACCTCTCCTGGTGGAGATTCTGTCCCCACCTTGGGGAGAGGATCCTGAGGCTCAACAAGGTCACTCTCCCAGGTCACCCCACCTTGTGTGCATTGCAATCAGAGACCACTCCTTGGCCTGCCCTTGTCTGTAGGCTCAGTCCACTTGTTTTCAGCAGACATGCCAGCGATGTGGCTGCTATGGGTATTCATACTTAAACATTTTCTTCTGTAACAAATTGTGTTGAGAGAATTTCAAATATCAGTAGAAAAGTTCCAGTCTGCAAACAAGAACTTCTAAAGGCCCTGCAAACATCTCCCACTAGGAAGACATTGGTATGCTTCATCCCTGAGCAGGGTCAGCACCTAACTGAGGTTCTCAGATAGAACTCCAGCTCAAGAGTGCCCCATGTCCTGAAAGTTCCTGGTCTCTCCCCTCAGCCTTTTTGTACTCAGGGTCCCAGTGAGGCCTTGAACTTGTCTTTGCCACAGACCAGTTCTTGTGTTGCTTTGTCTCAGAAACACCCAGTGCCAGGGCTGGGCAGTCATGGGGAGGAAGGCAAGTGCACAGACACTGTCTCAGGAGGGAGATGTGTGTGCTAGGCCAGAGCAATGCCTTACAGCCCACCTGGGATTTCTTCCTGACTTTTGTGTTTCACCTTAGCTTGTCTCTCCATTCTTCAGGTGTCTGTAACTAGATTCCCCCTTCAACTGACCAGAAAAGTGATGGCCACATCATATATATTATTATCTATATGACAGGCACTGAAGGCATATATCCTATGAATCGATGTGCTTGGTGTATGTTCAGCAAAGCATGTGCATGTATGAAATGCATGTGTTCTTGTGCTAGTGTTGTTCATTCCAGCTGTGAGTGGTCCCCTGTCCTTGTCTCTCATTACAATGCCCTCCAGGTTAGATGATCCTGCTCCATCCCCCAAACCTTCAACAGATATCCAGTGTGGTTTCTGTGCCTTAAAACTTAAGAGCTGTGTGTTTTATTAGTCCAACTTTGTTGAATATTCTGATCATCTGAGCCATGATTATTACTTTTGCCTAGTGATAAATTATCAGTGAGTATGTATAAAATCAACCCGAATGAAAACAATTTAGTGCCTGTGCAGGACATGACTGTGCAGGGCCCCTTTCCTTACTTGTTGTCCCTCTGCTGCAGGCCTGACTGCTAGAGAGAGAGCATGAATACCAATCCTGACGGCTGTGGTTCTATTTCAGAACTGAATTTTGTTGCTGCCCCTGAGAGGAAGACCCGTTCCCAGCTGGAGGGAGGTATTCACAAAGATCCCATCACCAGCAAGTGTGAGAGTCATAGCATCAGCACCAGTGATGTCCCAAGTACCCCAAAAGAAAATGTTATCAAAGGAAAATGGAAGCCCAGGAAATGCAAACTGGCCTGCAGGTTCCCTGGCCTGGAGATGAAGGGCAAACCACAGCCCACAGAGAGGAAAATCACGTGCCAATTTCCTGGCCAGGAGATGAAGGGAAAACCACAGACCAACATGTGGGCACTGACCTTCAGATTCCTGGGCCTTCACGCCTAGACAGAGGTAATCCTGTGTGTGTGTCTTAGATGTATGTATTCCTTCTTACACTGCACACAGATTATAGCTCATTTCTATTTGTTCAGATAGGGTAGAACTGTAACCTCTCTGTTTGGATCAATAATTTGAAATAGAAGATACAGTAAGAAATCCTTGTCATGTAGAAACCTGACCCACAAAATAGGATACCTCCCCTCATAATCAAGTTAAAATGTTTGAAGTTCAACTTCTCTCCCTAAAACATGCTGTTCACCATCCACTCACTTGATTGCAAGTCCTCTATTGGGTTGAGAAATATACAGTGAACAATCACATTTTATCTGATCTTATTCCTAGGCCAATTTCCAATGCAGATTCTTAGGTCTCATTTTCCCATGTTTGTCCTTCCCTCTGACCAGTATACAAACAGGATATTCTCCAAAAGAAAATTTCTTAGGGGAACTGAAAAAAAAAATGGGGAAACTCTAGGATGACTGAAGAGTGCCTGTTTTAAAGTTAATGTTCCCTTCAGAGTTGAGTGAGTGAGCTATTAGGCACACAGCAGAATGGTCCTAGGTGTAACTAGATGTGGAATCATCTTCAGAGAAACTTGGTGTCTGTTCTATTGACATGAGTTGTGCTGTGGTTACACTCCCGGCTCTCTTTGCTTACTGCAGAAAACTAGTCCATTTCTAATGCACCAGAGAGCAGGAAGAAGTGGGGTGACATCACCCTCTCCTGGTTAGGAAAGGCCAAGGGCCCTGGTTCCCCAGCACTGCAGAGCTGGGCTGGAGTTCAGGGCAGGACTCTGCTCATTTGGCTGCCACTTCCCTCTCAGCAGCCCAGGGCTCCCCTTCAGCCAGTCTCCCCACTAGAATTGAGTTTGCCTGGCCTCTGCCCCACGGTGGCCCAGATGCAGGCTCAGCTCTTACCTGGACCTGACCCTGCTCTCCTTTGATTTTTCTTCTCTCCCTCTTTCAGATCCCAAGTACAGTTGGAAGTACAGAACAGTATTGCTGATTGTAACATCCCCACCTCTTCAAAACATCTAACACAGGAGCTCCGCTTCAACAGCAACCAGAACACCAAGAACGCAATTTCAACACCATGAACTGCCCTCGGCTATTTTTATCCACTAGGCTGCTTCCCTGAGAGCTGGCACAGTCTTCAACTCCAATCTGAGTAAACACCAAAGGAGACCCAGGCCTGACTCCACAGCTGCTCTGGAGAGAACACCACCTGGCTCCTCTCCAACTGCCTCCTGTTGAGATCTGAGGTCAGGAGGAGCTGGAAGCAAACAGCATAGGACCCTGGGCACACACTGCCTTTGGATGGGGCGAGCTTGGTGTGGGCAGTGTCAGAGACACAGCGCCCTGCACACAAGGCTACATGTGAGCAGAGGAGAGGATCGATTCTGCAGGATGTGGACCCTGACCCAGACAGCTGGCCCTCTCCTTCACACAGCCAGCGTTCCGCATAGAGGACTGCAGCAGGAGGAGACTTTGGGGCTCAAAAGGACAAGAAGAGTCTCTTTCCTCCTTTTGAACCCCAACCATCTCCCCCTTCTGCTGTCTTCCATGATGGGAATGCTGACTGTGTGAAGGCGCAGGCCAGGTGTCTGGCTCGGGGTCTGCATCCTGAGGACCTCTGATGCTTTCCTCAATTTTACACTCAGCCTCACTCTTTGGCCAAGCACCCGATGCAGGGATGCTGTGTGCTCCCTCCCACATCCCCGCAGGAGGCAGAGAACATCTTGTGTGCCCATCAGGTCCCCTGACCCTGGCATCGGTCAGTTGGTGAAAGCTGTCTGTTGATCTGTACATCCTAAAGATGCGCTCCTTCCTCTGTATCCTAACAACTGTGGAGAGGGTGACCCCTCAGAGCCTGAGCAAAAAGGGGGTGAGCAGCGGCCCTGGCAGAGGTCCGGTCATCAACCCAAGAGGCGGCCGTCGATGAGCGTGATAACTGCAAGTTCATGGTGATGAATGCAGCACTGTGGCCGGGAGGGCCCAGGTGGGTGAGGTGGACTGAGCCTGCATCAAGGAACCAGACACCTCTCTGAACACTCCTCTCTCCACGTCCAGAGTCAGGCAGCGCAGATGCGGGCAGGACCTCATCACGAGGACGCTCATCTCCTACAGCTGCTGGTCCTGCCAACTCCACTCAGTGTTGCAGGAGAACTGGTGGCTCCTGATGCAGGACGTGGGCCAAGGCATCCAGAGCCCCAGCAAACAGCAAGGCCGTGTTCCTGCTGGCCTGAGGCAGCTGCAGTACGAGAAGGGGCCATATGCCTGCCCCCAGCCCGACATGGAAAATCGAGTCCTCACAGATTCTGGATGCCCGCTGCTTAGTACGTGCTCCTGGTGAAAGAATAATCTGAGCCAATGGCACCACTGCCCTGTGGTGGACCTGTTTTTCACAGCTACCATTCTTACTTCCACTGTCTGTCATACCTGTGATGACACAATTGTTTTCCTTTCATGAAAATTGGGATCCTAGGGAGGGAATTATGTTTCCACCTGAGTGTGCCTCCTCTCAGTGTAACAGCTGCCTTAGACATCCTGTCAGCACATCTTGGGCTCCTAAAATCTACAACTTCTCATTAAGATATCGCTGTCCAGGCCCAGAAGTGTTTCCAGTGTCCAGGAGTGTAACTGGAATCTCAAAAATTTTGATTCAGGTCCCAATACATATTCCCTGTTTTAGTTAAGTGTTTATAAAAAGAAAAATTCCAAAAAAAATTTGAAAATTTGAAAAGAAAAAAAAATTTAAGTAAAAATAGAAAAGAAAAATGGTACTGCTTGCTTGTTTTTTTAAAAGGAAAGATTAAAAAAAAATTTAAAATTGTTAAAAATTTTAAAAAGAAAAAATTAGAAAAAATGTCATTTAAGTGTTTTTGAAAGGAAAATACTGAAAAAATTAAAATTAAAAATTTTAAAAACTTTAAAAGAATAAAAAACAAAAAATAGGAAGATAGTAATAGGAAAATTAAAATGCCACTTCATTTTAGTAACTTTTTAAATAGGAAAAAGTTAGAAATATATATAATTTAAAATTTTTTCAAAAATTTAAACTCAGCAAAAAAAGTAAAATTCCATTTAAGTTCAGTGTTTTTGTAAATACAAAAATGTTAAAAAAATTTTAAATTTAAAAATGATTATACTTTACAAATGACAAAAGAGAAAAGCAATTATTCAGACAAGTGTAAAATGTCATTCCTATTCACTGTTTCATTTAACGGAGAAAATGCCAAATAATTAAAATTTAACAACTTTGCAAAAATTTCAAACTTAAAACAAAAATAGCAATACTAAGGAAACAGCGTACAATGCCAATTCAATTATCTTTCTAAATAAGAAAATGGTACAAAGAAATGAAAAAATTTCAAAACAAAAAGAAATTACCAAGAAGAAAAAAATAAATGCCACTTCAGTAAAATGCCACAATGCAACAAAAAAAAAATGTAAAAATTTTTTTGGATTTGTTTGACAACTCGAATTGGTTCTCAACAACTGACCACTGATGATGACAAGTTATTCAGTACCTCCAGAACAAACCGCCTGGTAATTTATGCCAAGAGACAAATCAGCAGTCATCTAGGTTTTACCTTGGATACCACTTTCACCAGCCCTAACTTAGGTGAAAATCTCTGCAGAAATTTTGCAAACTCTTTGCTGATTTTGATACCTGCTTTTACTTTTGTTCTGTAAAAATCATACACTTTGGATAATAAAATTTCAGAGTTGAAATAAAAACTTTGGAGAGTGCTGCTTGGAAGATGTATAAATCTCCAGTTTGAAAATGGCCTTCCTTTAACAATTTTACCATGCGTTAACCATTCATGCCTGTGTCAGTTATTATATTCAAGTCTAATACTAGATTTCTAATAGAATTCTTCCTGAAGACTGGATCCTGGCATTCTGTAGTTCAAAAGCATTCTCACCCCAACATGGAATGTTATTGCAAATATCCTGTTAGCCCATACCATTGGATTTTTTTTCTCTATCATTGGATTTTTTAAGTTCAGTGTTATAATACATTACATCTCATATTGGGTGTGTCAATTTTTTACCCTTGTATCTCTCTCTCTCTCTCTCTCTCTCTCTCTCTATTTATATATGAAGTAGACTGCTTTTCTCAAGCTATAGCAGAGAGCCGGATCAGAAGAGGAACAGTCGGGTCTTGAACCAGAGTCCACATGGGAAGCAGGCACTGTAGGTGGAGGCAAAGCCCACCCTACCACAGTGCCAGAACCAGGTTTTCCAATATTTAGAGAGACTGATTTATTTATCTGCAAGGCAAACATAAGAGAGAGGGAGAGCTACATAGAATGAAACACACACACAGAGATGTTCCATCTGATTCATGTCTCAAATGCCTGCGGCAGCCACGACTAAACCAGGCTGAAATAAGGAATCCAACAACTTGAGCCATCTGCTGCCTCCCATTACTACAGGAAATATGGCTTAGAAGCAGCTGGGTCTTGAATCAGGCACTCTGACATGGAAGCCGCTGTCATATTGATGGCTTTACCCATGGTCCCACGATGTCAGCACCTGCCTTCTTTAAAAAAAGTTTATTGAAAAGCAGCATTACAGTGAAGAGGCAGAGGATGAACAGTGGGAGAAAAGGGAGAGGGAGGTAGTGGTGCTGGGGTGGAGAGAGAGAGAGAAATACCTTCCATCTACTGGTTCACTCCCCAAACGCCTGCAAATTCAGGGAAACCTCCTGGCTGCCTTGAATGTTTCCATTCCTGCACTTGGGACTCCAGGCCAGAATCCAAGTGTCTCTCCTGGAAGGCCAGCCATCTGCCAGCAGGTCTTGGGACTTCCTAGCCTACATGACCACATGACACAGTGCCTTATCCCATGATGCCCTTGGGATCCAGGGGACCACAAGTGCAGGTTCCATTCGCAGTGATTTTGAACATTGAAAAAGAATGCATCTGTACTGTCCATATACCATCTTTTTCCCCTTGAATTCTTCTACACACAGTATACCATTTATGTCGTAGTGTCTTTAGGTATTATAAGATATCTAGGGACAACTGAAAACATATGGGAGAATATTTGGTCCAATGCAAATGCTACCCATTTATGTACAGGACTTTAGCAATGGTGACTTCAGTGCCTGCAAGTGATCCCAGACCCCATCTGACACAGAGCTTCATGGACAACTGTCCATATTCCATAAGTCCTTGCAGGGTCTCACCAGACACAGATTATCATCCTGAGACTTGAGGTGCAGGTCTAATGAATCCTGCAAGGACGGAAGCAGCTTTGCCCCTGGGGAACAGGTCCCCACTGGAGGCGTTTTCAGATGCACACTGAGCTATGGATGGGAATGGGGATTTTGGTGAGGTCTGCAGTGGAAATGAGGAATGGATGTGATTGAAGACCAGGAACAAGGTGAACGTTGTTTGTAAGAGGCAGGGAACTTGGTTTCTGGCATTTTTCTAGAAGGTATAACTTGCCAGGAATGAAACTGGACATTAAATGGAGGTGAATTCTCAGCAAAGTGCTGATTCAGGGGCTTGCCTTCTGGCAGTGTTTCAAAAGAATTTATTTGAAAGGGAGAGATACAGACATACTGGGAGAGAGATTGTCAGCTGCTGGGTCAATCCCCAATAGCTAGGGCAGGGTCAGGCCAAAGCCAGGAGCCAGGAGCCAGGAGCTCCTTCCAGATGTGTGTGGGGTCCAAGCAAGTGGTCCAACTGCCGCTTAATTTCCAGGCACCTTAGCATGGAGTTGGATAAGAAGTGGAGCAGCTTGGACTTGAACTGGTGCCCATACCTGATGCTGACACTGCAGGTGTGGACTTAGGCTTCTATGTCACAGCACTGGCCAATGGCCATCTGACTCTTTATAGTAACGTCCAAAAAGAATTTAATTTCTAGGAATTCTGAACAAAAAGAAACTAGAATTTGAAGATTTGGAAAGTTGGGTCTATCCATATTACAACAAATGAAATGTGTTCTGGAAGAGAACACCAGGGTGTGGCTAGACTGTGCCTTGAAAAAGATGCTTGTATGACATGGACAGAATCTGCAGGTTTCACCAAGGGTGAGCAGAATGGTTTTGAAATGAAAGTGGGCTGACGGCCTTCCTGGATGGAGAGGACGGAGTAATGCAGGGCATCAGTTGACAACATGCAGTTTTTGTCAAGAAGAATGAAGGTGACCCTGAAGGGGATTCCAAGATAATCAGGGCTCCTGCATCTGTTACCCAAGCTGACAGGCAAGACAGAAGCCATGGGACACTGCACTGACCAGCAGTAGAGGCTCCGGAAATGTTTGGGATAATGCTGCCACCCTCCTGGGCCCAGATGGCAGAGTTTGAACCAAAGAGAATTATCATGGAGAGGCAGAGACAGAGAGAAGGCCTTCCAATCACTGGTTCACTTCCCAATTGGGAACCATGGCCAGAGCTGGGCCAATCTGAGGCCATAAACCAGTAGTTTTTTCTGTGTCTCCCACATGAGTGCAAGAGCCCAAGGACTTGGACCATCTTCTACTGCCTTCCCAGACCATAGCAGAGAGCTGGATCAGAGGAGGAGCAACCAGGACTCGAACAGGTGTCCATATAGGATGCCGGCATTCCAGGCGAATGCTTGGGCTAGTAAACCACTGCTCCATCACAGAAACTAGTTGTTTGAGAGGGAGAGACACAGAGAGTACTGCCACCCTCTGTTTCAGTCCTCGAATGTGTGCAACTGCCTGGCTGGACTGGGGCCAAAGTCAGGAGCAGGGAATTCGATCCAGGTCTCCCTGTGTGGGTGGCAGGAACCCAAGTACTTGATATCCTGGGGACGGGGTGGTCACAGACATGTGTGGGCACCTTTGGGGTTGTATTTCTACTTGTCTGCAGAAGGCCTCCTGCAGAGTTGGCCACCTCAGGCTGTTTTGTCCAACCAAGGACATGCTGTTGCCAAACCCCTTCCCATGTGTGATGAATGTCCTACGTTCTGAACACTGAGGGCCCCACATCTGCTTTCTCAGCTTCCCTGGCTCCACCATGTAGCAAGATCTCCATGGACTGGCCATTCTGACACAGTGACACCAGCTCTTGATGTGAAAGGAGAGACCCAAGGAGCAGGCACTGGGAAAATTCATGCTGGCTCCTTTAACATAATTACAGCCCATCTCAAGATCCTCACAGTGTCCAGGGACAGCAGAACCCTGTCCACGGGGAGTGTCTAGTTCCTAGGACCAGTGGTGTCACCTGTGCAGCCCAGGGTCTGTCACTCAGGGTGGGCTCAAGTGTCCTCCAATTGGGGGCTGCAGTGCCTGCTGGTCTGTCTGAGTGCACTCGTGCCTTCTTCCTGTCTCCCGTTCCTGGTGCACTGGGTCCCTGAAGATCCTCTGGACAATGCCTGTCACCTTCACACAGTGGATTTCAGACAAGCTCAGCCAGAATCCAATTCTGTTCCCTGCCTAGCAAGAAAGAGAAGGAAGAGGCCAGCGGTTCTCTCTGAGGCAGCTGTGTGCTGAGGGCTCTTCCTGGGCCTCCAGGATTCTCCTGATGAGCATGCCCCTCCCTCCCCCTCTGCACTCCAGGACAGCCACAGAGACACAGGGACTCCATGCCTGCTGTCAGCTGGGTTTCCCCTCCCCCATCCTTCTCCGGGCCCCAGGTCTAACCCAGTCCTGGAGGCCACAGGAAAACAACAGGAAAAGCACACTATGTTGCATTTTCAAAGCACCCAGCCCTAGCAACCTCCATGAATCTCTGGGAAGCTGAGCTTCCCTGTGGGGCACTTGGGGGTCACTCCTCCAACTTCTGAGAGGGCTCTCCGGACAGCAGCAGCTGAGATGAGCAGGCAGAGGTGGCTCCCAAAGGGCGGGTTTGCACCCTGGACCTCACAGGGACGTCTGCACTCTGCACATCGGGTCCCCAAGAATTGCCCTGACAACAGGCAGCAGGCTTTTTGTTTTTTAGAGAATTTTTATTCTTTTTTTAAAAATTTTATTTATTATTATTATTTTTTGACAGGCAGAGTGGACAGTGAGA